TATTCATCCCTTGCACCCTTACTAGAGGCTCTTCCCTGAGACTCTCCCTTATTTTGCGCATTCATGGCACCTCTTTCTTACCGGGCTGAATCCGCCTCTGACTTCTGTACCCTGTGTTGATGTAGCACATGGGTGTTTTGTAAGCAAACATAAACTGAGCATAAACTGATACAGTAATAATATAATTTTTTAATAAACGCGTAATAATGGTATAACCCATGAGAATCTCCACCGAAAGCGATATCTAACTTAACCATCCTTAAATTTTGAAAATGAGTAGGCTAATGGAACTCGGAAAAATGAGAATTGTGAGGTTCTAATTCATTCATTCATATATCCGGCCAATATTAGAAATACAGACAAGAGAAACAAACAAGAGAAACAAATCACGAAAAGTTAACAATTTCGAATGTAAAAGAAAATTATTAAAAAACAAAATAAAATAACATACATTGGCCAGGAGAGCCTAAGAAAACCATCAGGTATTTTCTATTGGGGTCCTGTGAAGCGGCTCAACACTTTCGCATCCTGTTGGGTATGTAATTTATCAATTACAGAATGGAATAATGCTATGGGTGTCGAGTTCAAATGTCATCAAACATTACCAAATGTGAATACTCAAAATAAGCTTTAATTAAAACCCCTAAGGATTGTTGAAACTAAATCAGCACAAGTAACATTAAACCAAAGTAAATTATACACCAAATTTCAGAATCTTAAGGAAAAGCGCCATCATGGGTAGATGGGGGAATGAACCACGTCAGGGAGAAGTTTCCCGTCCCCGTTACCCTTGCTGAAGTGAAAAACCACAGATTAATTGTCAGGGGAAAGAATTGTGTAATTCTGCAGTTTGTGAGACTCTAAATCGATTGCATAAGTCTTTTTAAATCCGTAAGTTTAATGTTAAAGCTTTCGGGGCTTAGCCCCTTGGAATCCAATTGAGCGGTTCTGGGCAGTCCACTCGTCGGGAAACCGCCTACCTCGCCCGAAAACCGCCTACCTTACCCACCCCCGCCAGAGACATTGGACTCCCCGTCCGGCAAATCATGAACCAACTCTTTTAGAATATTGAAACATACACAAAAAGATCAAACCTGACGTTTTTACACATAAATGTAATACATACTGATTTACCACGGGTCTCAATTGTAGTGGAATACAAATGACCATCTAAATGTTTATAGCGGAAATTATTTCAGGTTTACCTAATGGCCAAATTATTTTTTATAACACCAATTGCAAATAAATTCTATAGGTACAGGTGCATAATTCCATGTAAGCACATACTAATCAAATAATCAATAGCGTTATGTCTGAGCTCGAAGTCAGTCCCCTAGACAACAAAATACATAGGCCTAAAATAATTTTTTTTTTCGAGTTGATGGTTGACCAAAGTATTAAGAGTGGCGGTAGTGGTGTGGTCAGAGTCATTCCTCCTCTCATCGGGGATCGGACAACCCCTGTTTGGGAGAAAACCACAAATCTTCGTTTCTTTAAACTAAAAGTGCATGATGATCTATTCATAATGTTTGTATAATCCTGCTAATAATGACGGACACAGACAGTTTGATAGGCTATAATACTAGGCCTATATAATTTACTGTTTTACGATGGAATGAGTACGTAAAGATCATATTGAAAATTAACGTTCACGTGTACCACAAAGAATAAATCACATTAATATATATAAAATAGATACACTTAGCTAGACCGTTGATGTAAGGGTATTTACTTGTACAATTAAACGTCCTTGGTTGGTTGATGTGCACCCACGATAATTATAGCAATTATATATATTGATAGATATGCCTATTAATGGTAAGATACAGGAGAATGCTTTGTGGTAATTCAGATTAATAGATTGTAGCGTGTAAGCCTATGTGTAAAAAGTATTAGTAAGTCCTTGCCGAATCACTATGGCTCAGGGCAGCTATCCCCAGTTTCCGTAGAGTGAAGCGGATGAGAGTGACTGGGAGGGACGCTGGTCCACTGCAAGTATAATGTACATTTATATGAATAGGTACTGTATAGTGTTTAATATTTTTAAATCGTTTCTTCCAAGTGCCACCACACTTTCACTATGCTGTCAATTGTTTTCAATAGTACGTACGGCTGCTTGTTACCTTGTGAGGACCATCTGTGTGAAAATCGAATTAGAAGAAGCATAAATATTCAGTAACAGTCATGTCATATTTTATGTCTATCCACGAAAAAAAAAATATTATGCATATATTATGTGTTATATTGATAGATTAATTATAGTGCTACGGTTATTTTCCCACGTGATAAAGTATATTTTGTACTGAGATATATATTACACTGTTACGTGAAAGGTTATGTGTACTGAGTTACTGATTATCTCAGATTTTATCGCTATAATAAACTTTGTGAACGCCTACGTATGAAAGCGTCACATGCTACGTGACAAGGCACTCAGACGAAAGTACGGGTAGTAAAGATCTGATTCACTAAGCGTCTATGCTACGTGGAGGCACTCAGACAAAAGTACGGGTTTTAAAGATCTGATTCGTAATTTTTCAACTTTTCGAGCTAAGTTATATTTCATTCTGTTCTATTATTAGGCCTAAGTGATCGATCCGTTTTAGCAGTAGGCCTAAGGTTGTTGAGGTCATGAGTTTCCAATGACTAGCCATCGCTGGTGTAGTATGGCAGCTCAATCAAAGCTTCATCACACAACTGTTTCAGACTAGCCTAGGCCAAGATTATCTTTCATAATGATAAAATGCAGACCTATTTAATGATACCGGTACTAAAAACACAGAGGCGAATTTAGAGGGAGAGTATGCGGCGCACGCTCCCCACCTCCCACAAAAAAGTAAACCCCAAACCGCAAGTCTGGCCCATCCAATAGTAAAGCGGATTGTAAAAGTTGATAAATAGATTACATTGATTACTGTAGTTATAGCCATCCTATAGTTAAACGTCAGAACTGCTGATTTTTTTTTTGATTTTTTTTTTTGTGGGTGGAGGTGGGGAATATACCTCGCCCTTGGACCAATACTGGGCGTTATTCTTTGTATTCGCTGCCGCGCCGTCTTCGCTTATGTTCTTCACATCCCATGAATTCTGATTGCTGTGTTATGGTGAGCCCCATTGTCAGTCATGAGTTTCTCAATGTCCTCAAAAAATGCTTTTCGCTTGAGAGGAGCAACGAGTCTTTTAGAAGAACAGAACCACTATATTTTTTCGGAACCCTTCGGCACCTTAACTTTATCGGAGTTTATGCCAGAGGCGTGGGTGGGAGTAGATTAGGACCCCTTCAGGAAGACTTCATAGATCGGGAAAGCTCGACCATTTTACTATACACGACAAAGCTTTGACGGTGCTTCACAGGCCTACAAAGTCATTAACATACTTCTCAGAATGCAAGAAAGTGCATTCCCGACATCTGGATTTTTTTCTTAAAATGTATTTACCACAAGTCTGCTTAGGTTTTTTTCTTTTGTCTAGGCCTACGCTGATCCCTGTACCTCAACTACAGAACATTTCTTGTCCCCGGGTCCATGAGCTCACCTCTACCACATTAGGGCAGGGCCGTAGGAACCGGACTTTTTGACAGACCACAAGTTGATTATTTAAGTTTTGAATAGTAAAAAATGGCTAAATTCCACCTGTATGTTTAGACTCAACCTACTCTCTCTTTGACATAACGCAGGAACCGTAATAGTTTACATTATTTTCTTCTCTTTAGTGTAAAATTTATGAGTGATTAAGAAACTAGGATGCATTATTTCTTCAGTTGAAATTTAGTGTCTATAGACTTACCTTTTATCCAAATCAAGTAGGTCAGTTACTACACATAGTGAGCTTTTGCAGAAATTCAGACTAAAGTTCCATAGGACATATAATTATTCACTTCCTCGCTAAATTACCAAGCAAAGACAAAAAACATGCCTTTATCTGTATATCTATTCCTGATAGTTCTAGTAAGCAACATTATTTTCTGTGAATAAATATACTGTAAATATACCTTTTTTTAAGCACTTCTCTTAAATATTGTCAAGCACGGATCCAGAGTTTACCCTGGCTATCGCAAAAATGGTTTCCCATTGGTGGAAGAGGTCATGAGAAGAGAACTAGCTTGTTTTGTCGCTGGAAGACAAATTTTAGATATGGGGTGGGGGAGTCTTCAGGTTTCCTTCGAAAAGTTTTTGTTTTGTAGATGCTTTGAAATTCGTGCATTATGAGACGTCTTATTGAATACACTCTGAATTCATAGTTTTTCCTTACTTTGCTATGGACAATTAATAATTATGATGATGAAAAAGATGATGATGATGAGGAGGAAGCTGTGCAAGATTAATTAACAGGCCCTTTGATGTGAAGTGTCAAGCGAGGCCGGTAGCCTAAGTTACGGGTGGGAATTTGGAGACATCATCGTTGTCGTCATATGTTCAATGCACACAGTCGGACAATAGACGATTTATGATATCTGTTTTGTATAGAAAGTAATATGAAACCCATAAAATATCAGTTCAGGCATTCATTTATCTCTGTGGAAGATATAACATATGAATCATACAAAATGAATAGAATTCAAATAAAATAAAAATATTTATAAAAAAAACATCTACACTAAATCAAAATGGAATATTCACTGCCTGTTGCATCCCAGTTTTAGTATTGCAGGGGTTCAGAAGGCTTTACAGTATAACCAATCCCCGTATTTCTGATAGATTGCTAATTAAAATGTAAAATATTTAAGGTTTTATATTAAGTACATTCTCAAACGCTATGTAAATCTCATATATCCCAAAATGACGTTATATTCATGCACCGAAGTAGAAAGTTTAACTTAATAATTTTGATATGTATGTTTTTTGAATGATTTTTAATATGACAGTCTAATATGACCACAACATAAGGAAGTACTCTCTTTTAAACTTCTAACCTAAACTTTGCGTATCACAATATACATATATATTTCCTTAAATCAACGAAGTCCACTTGTTAAATTTATATTATAGAGAATTTTTGTCTGTCAATCTCAGATATCCAAATTTTAGGAAATTACGTTTTATGCATGCACCGACATGAGAACTTATATGTTTTATGTTGTTTGTTGAATGGACTTTTATACTATTACAGTCTAATATGACCACGACATAAGGAAGTCAACTCAGTAAATCTTTAGCATAATATTGTACAGTATCAATATCATTATACACATGTTAGATCCAAATCACGTTTTATGCAAGCACCGACAAGGAAAGATTAAACATAATAATTTTGATATGATGTTTTATGTTATGTGTTGATTGGTCTTAGTTAATAATATTACAGTATAATGGCTTAACGTTAATAATATTACAGTTTAATGGTTTACAATATCACAGTTTAATGGTTTAATGGCCCCGGAACCCTGAACCCCGACCTGGGGCTCTTGGCGGCCCCCTAGCCCCAATCATCAGTGCTCGCGCTTCGCTCGCAGCCTGACCACTTCAATTCTCGTGGCTACGGCCCTGAGTCCTACCCTATCACACACACTCAAACTGATCCACCACTTATGCCAACACCATCATAAGCTGCCACTTTCTCTTCTCCTTCTCTTATTTTTACTTATTTAAATCGAATCCAAATAAAATATTCAAAATTGATGGAAATTTATATTTTTTGTTTCAGATACTAATCCAAATGAGAAAAAGACTTAATATAAGAGTTCCAGCGAAAGATTGATCGAGTTCCTAGTCCATATATCAAGCGCCCTGAGCATCTAACATTAGATGGATATGTGCGCTATATAAAACCACACTATTATTATTATTATTATTATTATTATTATTATTATTATTATTATTATTATTATTATTATTATTATTATTATTATTATTATATAATAATATATTATATATAATAATATATATATATAATATACGGTATATATATTATAGTTTAATATGATACAATCAGTAAATAAAGAAGTTGACGTTAAAGCAACCAATGGCTATCGGTCATTGACTAGCCCAGTCATCAGAAACACACGACTAGTTACGGTAGAACCTGTTATAGCAGGTTTCATGATGGCAGATGGTATATTTTATGGTGTTCAGTCAGAATTCATTCAAGGAAGAATTGCTATCCTCCATAATTACACTTTGCCAAACAACGCTGAAAATGGAACGTGTTCCGTGAACGAGTCCAACGCACAGAGTAAGTTGCAAAGCGAGATTCAGGCCGAAACATCGGAGTGGTTGATGTACTTTACACTAGCCTACGCTTTACCATCGATATTTATGACCGTAATAATTGGGGCATGGAGCGACTCTGTTGGAAGAAGGTTCGCTATTCTGACATCTTCCGCTGGAACTCTTATTAATTTCATCACTTGGACACTTGTTGCTCATTTTGAACTTCATCTAGAAATCTTAATCGCCTCATCGTTTGTAAGAGGATTATGTGGAGCCACATCTCTCTTCAATGCTTCTTGTTTTACATACATATGTGACGTTACTACAAAAGAAAACAGAACACCGAGAATAATTGTATGTGAGTGTGTTTTATTGCTTTCGCTAAGTATTGGTCAATTGTGTGGAGGATTTCTCGTTGATTATCTCGATTTTACGATTACGTTTACTATCTCGGTTTGTTTTACCTCTATGGCAATTATTTACACATCGATACCATATATGCTCCGGGAAACTATTCTCCTCAAAACCAGATTTAAAGAAAATTTGACAAGATCTATAAACGGTGTTAAGAATGTACTGGCTGAAAAAGATGTGGAGTATAGAAAAACATTTTATATTATTAATTTTGTATTCTTCATTGTAATGACTTTTACAACTGCAAACTCGCCATACGGATTGCTGATTGTTCATTTTCTTGGTGAACCATTTTGTTTTTCATTCCTGTTATTGTCGTATTATTCAGCTGCGATGTCATTTAGTCCAGCACTTGGTAAGTTACGGGAACTCTTTGGTCGAATACATGGTTTCTAGTGAGTTGATCACTAACGTGAATACTAGAGAGGACTGAATCCACCCACGCCTGGTTATTGTACACTGGCAGTATTAAAAGCGACACGGTGCTCTATTAACACAATGTATTTAACAGAGCATCATGCACTTTTTATCAACTTCCATAATAGCCTGGGTGCAGTCGGAAATTAGCGGGAAAAAAGTAAAGGAAAATTTATTTTTGGTTTTTCTGAATCAGTATATCATATAATGTCTCAGAAAAAAAAATCCCCATTCTTAGAGCTTGGGCAACTTTTTTTTATAGCACTTTGAAATTTTGACATGAAATATCCTATTTTGGACTAATTAAGATGGGGATAGGGGAAATAAATGTATGTTTTAGTCACTTTATACATATGCTATGTATATCAAATGTAACTAGAACTTGGCTAAATAGTTACTCTTCACTCTCGTTAAAAAAATTAATCGGAATGATAACGCCATCACAAAAAATTCCAAGATGGCTGCCATTTTGGCGGTAAAACATCTTTATAATGTAAAATTAACTTTATTGTTATCAGAGCAATTTCAAAACAACGTTATACATACAAAAATAAAATATATATATATATACATACATACATATATATATATATATATATATATATATATATATAAGAGACAGTATATATACTGTATATATACTGTATATATATATATTATAATAATAATTATCAGAATACAAACCTACTGGAAAAAGAAATAGCGAAAATACCCAACAATTCAATTTCTGGACATGGATCGGCGTAAATTGAAAAAACTATGGCATTATTTCAGTCACTTCTAGTTTTGTTATAAATGTTAACTACTTACTCTTTACTGTCTTTATCAAATTTGATTGAAATGATCATAATGCCAATTTCCAAGATGGCGTTTATCTTGGCGGGGAAAATGGTTATTTTTGTAAGATTATTATTATTCTCAAAGTATAAAATACAATCTTATCAAAGCAATGTACACATATAGAATATATAAATATCATTATTTTAATAGTAGTATTATGCTTATTTATTATTCTTATCATTATTAATCATTATTAGTATTATTATATTATATATTACTATATTGTATTCTTGTTCTTTTAAAATTATATTTTATTATTGAAATGAATTACATTGTTAGTACTGTTATATAATAATATTATTTATATTTTATTACCACTATTGATCATCATCAGTATTATCATCATCCGTCATCATCATCCTAATCATATTCGTCATCGTCATCATCATTCTCATTGTTGTCTAATCATCATAATCATCCTTACTGTTATCGATCGTTGTAATCATCACCATCATCATCACATCATACTCATCCATCGTCATCGTCCTCATCTTCATCACATCATTCTCATCAATCATCTATCGTCGTTATCATCAACCTCATAATCTTCATCCTCCTCATCCTTCATCATTTTCTTTATCATCATCCTCATCATCATATTCATCCTCATTCAACATCATCCTCGTCATCATCAATAGCGTAGCCAGCTATTTGCACAGTTGGGACAGTCCCACACCGTTTTTCTAATGGGTCCACAAAAAAATGGGTGCACATTTTAAAAATGGGTGCAAATTATGTAATTTTATGCATAAAATGGATCCATATTTCTCGAATTTAGCTAAAAATTGGTAAAATTTAAGAAAATTTAATATTTTTGCGTAAAATGGGTCCAGTCTACATTGTTTAAATTTACACGTAAAGTTGGTCCATCATCCATTATCGTCACCCTCATCACCATCCTCACCAATCATCGTTATCATCATCACCACCACCTTCATCCTACTAATCATCCTCATCCATTATCATCCTTATCCTCATCATCATCAACCTTATCCTCATCATCATCAACCTCATCCTTATCCTCCTTATCATCACTCTTCCATCATTCATCATCATAGTCCTCATTATTATCATCATTGTCATTATCATCCTCATCATCATCCTCATTACAATCATCATCTGTCATCATCATCCATCATCATCCTTGTCCTCATCATCATCAACCACATCATCATCCTTATTAATTATAATTATCAATCATCATCCTCATCATGAGGATGATTATGAAGAGGAGGACAAAAATGAAGATGAGGATGAGGGGCAGAGGGAATGTTTCTCATCATTCGTCATTATTAACCTCATCAACATCATAATTCTCATCAATCATACTCATCATTATCACGATCATCCTCATCAACAACCATTATCATCAATCATAATCATCATCCTTATTTTCATCATCATCAAACTCATCATCCTAATCCTCCTCCTTATTATCATCATTATCCTCACCATCCTTATCAGCATCATTTTCTTTCTCATCATCATCCATCATCAATCATCATCTACCTCTTCATCTTCCCTACTTTTCAACCGCATCATCCTCATCATCATTCTTATCTTCATCACCAAAATCATAATCATCATTACCATCATCCTCATTATTATCGTCATCCTCATCATCATCATCCTGATTACTGTCATCGTCATCGTCATCATCATCATCATCATCATCATCATCATTATCATCATCATCATTACCATCATCATTTTCATCATTATCCAAAACATTTTCTACCTCATCATCATCCATCATCAATCCTCATCTACCTCATCATCTTCCTTACTTATCAACCGCATCATCCTCATCGTCATTCTCACTTCATCATTACCATAATCATCATTACCATCATCCTCATTATCATCATCATCATCATCATCATCACCATCATCATTTTCATCATTATCCTCTTCATCATCATCATGAGGATGATGATGATGGTGAGGAGGACGAGAATGAAGATGATGACGATGGTGAGGGTAAGAGGGATGATTCTTATCATTCATCATCATCTCAATTTTTTATTTTAAATTGGCCTATGTTTACCTATTTTATATCGTTTACTATATATTCTAAACCTTGCCAGATCACTATCTGTAAATATTCGCTCTTGTGCAATAATTACCATTGCTTCTGGACCCCATTGGAAATAAGTCTGGTGTACAATCACTAGACTTAATGGGTCACCCAGGCATTCAATTAATGATTCATCTCTTTTTTTTATGTTCGTTCTCTAAATGTTATTGTTATGTGTGTGATATTGAATGCAAAATAAATCAAATCAAATAATCATTCTCATCAATCATTTTCTATCATTCTCATCACCATCATCATAATCATTATCATCAACAACCATCAATCATAATCACCATCATCTTCTTCCTCACCATCATCCTCATCGTCTTTCTTCTCCTCCTCATCATTAACATCCTCCATATAATGGGGATTATAATGAGGATGGGAATGACAATGAGGAAGTTGATGATGATAATAATAATAATGACATCAGTATAGTAAGAATAACTGTACTAACGCTAATATTAATGTAAATTATAAACTATAATTTTTTTTAAAACGCATAAGAATAATGATATACTATATTAATAATATTATAAAGTAAGAACATAATAGTATAATAATGATAATGAAGAAAAATGTAGTGTACAAAGATTAAATTTAAATAGGTTAACATTTCCTTTAATTTTGATTGTTGTAGTCTTGGAATTTGGTGTGTTGACGTCATCATTCCAAAATTGCTTGGGAGGTGGGAATTCCCGTCAGACACGCCTAGACTTCCATCGTCCGATGCCACCACACCACAAATAATGATTTACTTATCCGTAAAAAATATTTTGATTGCTAATCCCTTATATTTGGTTTAAAAGCAAAATTTTGGGCCATACTAAGCTAAAAAAAAAAACAAAAAAAAAAACTCTCCCATAAGCCCAGGGATGTTTTTTTTCCGGTACTCTGACCGAGGGTCTAGTCGGCCCTGTGTTTGGACCCACCCCATCAGATCCCCTTGGGCCACCAATGAACGACTATAATGGGTGACTATTTAACTAAGGTCCTGTCAGTTTTCACAGTTATAGAAAAAAAACCCTAAAAGTGACTAAAAACATAAACATGTTTCCCATACCCCGCTTTAAAATTTGCTTTAAAATTGGTATTTTAAAGCAAAATTTCACTATTTTGTTTTGTCGTTGGGTTAACTTTGTAATAGTT